ACCTGCTAGGAAGCCATACCAGGTACACAGGAACATTCTTGCTGTGTGAGGTGCTTCAGAGAGGTCCCCATTGTACAAAAGCTTACTTTCTGTTAGTAGCTAAAATCGAGATTACAAAAGAGCTGGGGACTAAATGGAGGGAGAATTGCCTTCCTGCTTAATGGGATGCTTTTGGGTCCAACAAATGTTGTATGGGCAAACACCAGCCTCTGGCATACTAACAGGAAAAAGGACCAATAAGTAGTACTATGTACCTCCCAAAGATACAGAATTCCTTTTTCCCCCACTCTCCATCTAATTCCATTGTGGTGGATGCAGTGAACTTCAATGGCCACCACCATCACATGAAATCCAGGCCTTAAGAAAGGGACTGAAAAAGGCTTGACTTGTCTGGAAGGAAGGCCTGTTCTTTGGTGACCTGACGATTCACAGTTGCAAATTACCAGGCCTTAATGGCAAAATACTACCACATGGACTACACCAAATTCAATACTTCTATTGATCACCTAGTAAAATCACAACAAGAACAGTTTCAAGCTATCATTCATGAGGGTTAGTTAGTGGTGAGAATAGCACTTCTGACTATCAATAGCTGTCATGATACAACAAGTATTGTGATTATACTTTTGCTAAATGGGGTATAGATAATGGTAGAGGACCTCACTTTTGAAGGCACAAAATTGTTTCCAGAGAAGACCAAAGCATCACTTCGCAGCCCCAAAGACTCAGGGACACATGGACACTGCGGTTACTGGGAATCTACATACTGGGTCAGCAAATGAAATTTAGTTTTCAGTATTTTCACAAATCACGTCCACCCCAGTACCCGCCACAATAAGGAAATCTAGATTTCAGAGGTGTAAACCATCAGTTCTTCAGGCCTCAACATCACAGTCTTCCACCTTTGAAAAACGAGTTCTGACAGCTTAGTTGAGGTCTCAAGAGACCATTCCCTACAATATCAGCTGCAACTTTTACATCTTCCACATCACTTTGGATGCAGCCTTGCTCTGTCCTTTTAAAATTGGGAACACATATCTACCAACAGATAGGTTTTGGAGATTGTTTCCATGGATACTCTATCTATTTCATCTCCCTCTCCTTCTCCGGCCCTCTTCATGGACTTTTTTCTTAAGAAACTGTTAAGGCAGGAAACAAATAATCTCCCGTGCCTGGAAGCCATAGACCCTATTCCAGTATACATACAAAAGGAAATGTTTTTTTTTATTCCTGGTATTTTGTAATCCTTAGAGTAAGGAAGTTGGAGATCCATATATGTGAAGTTGCAAAAAATTCAAGATGATCACACTAGCAGCAATTATCTCATCTCTGGAACAGGGAGATTGGGTCTTGGCCCTCATCCTCCAGGATGTGAATTTCCACATATTCATTCTACCATCCCACAGATGATTCTTCTGGTTTCTCCTACGTCAGGACCAATACCAGTGAAGGGCACTTACTTTCAACCATTCGTCAGCTTCCCGAGTATTCTCCAAGGTCGTCCTCATAGCAGTGGCTCATTGAGGCACCATGGGGATAATGATTTATCCATACTTGAATGACGGTCTCCTCAGGGTCCATTCCTTTTAGGATGTCCTGTTGGCCACCCATCTCCAAAGAGATTCTTCTAGTGCATAATGAACCTCTGTCTTCAATCTGGACACACAACTCCAGCTTTGGACCAGTGTTCCCTGTAAGCTGAGGTTTTGGGCAGCCACCCAGGAGAGATTCAAATGCTGCTCAGCTGATTAGTAGAGTGCTTCTAGCCAGCAGCATGTGTTTCTACTGGTGTTGCACATTCACACATGTCACAGTGCACATAATAAAATGTATTCACATATGGATGGAAAAGGCAGCCCAGGCGCGCCTGGGCTGCCCCGCCGCCGGCTTCCCCCGAGGCTTTGCAAAGCCGCAAAGCTGTATACCCGGCGTATAAGACGACCCCGAATTTTTGGGGGTTTTTTCCACATATTCATTCTACCATCCCACAGATGATTCTTCTGGTTTCTCCTACGTCAGGACCAATACCAGTGAAGGGCACTTACTTTCAACCATTCGTCAGCTTCCCGAGTATTCTCCAAGGTCGTCCTCATAGCAGTGGCTCATTGAGGCACCATGGGGATAATGATTTATCCATACTTGAATGACGGTCTCCTCAGGGTCCATTCCTTTTAGGATGTCCTGTTGGCCACCCATCTCCAAAGAGATTCTTCTAGTGCATAATGAACCTCTGTCTTCAATCTGGACACACAACTCCAGCTTTGGACCAGTGTTCCCTGTAAGCTGAGGTTTTGGGCAGCCACCCAGGAGAGATTCAAATGCTGCTCAGCTGATTAGTAGAGTGCTTCTAGCCAGCAGCATGTGTTTCTACTGGTGTTGCACATTCACACATGTCACAGTGCACATAATAAAATGTATTCACATATGGATGGAAAAAATTAGAGCACACATGATTGAGACCTAAATCTAGTTTTAAAGAGCCCAACTAGACCACCAGTTGACACTGACCATTTTTTGCTTACATACTGGCTGATGAAACCAGCATTTCTGGTGGCTATTACTTGAGCAGGGAGAATAAGGGAGATAGCAGCGCTAATGGCCCATTCCCCCTTCAATACGCCGGAAAATACGGTATTCTTTATAGATAAGGTTACTATTATGCCACATCCAAAGTTCATTCCCAAGGTGACCTTGTCTTTTCCCATAAACTGACTGATTTGCTTCCTGACCTTTTATCTTAAGTCTCACTGTGATAATAGGCAGACTATAGCGGATATGCTAGATGTTAGAAGAGCCTTAACCTTTTATCTGGACAAGATTAAGGCCTTTAGGAAATCTCCTCAGCTTTTGCTCTCCACTACAGAAAGGTCAAAAGGTGCAGCAATAATGGCCCAAATACTCTTCACATGGGTTTCGAACTGTATTAACCGTTGCTATCATGCTCTCAATGTGTTACCTTCATCCAGAATCTGCACATTCTAAACAATGTCGGTTTCCATTTCTGTTGTGCTTTTCTCAAGAATATTCATATCTCTGAAATCTGGAGACAGCAGCTTTGGTGTCTGCTCGTAGCTTCGCAGAAGGCTATGCAAATGCTGGAGACTCTGCTTCCAAGGCTATCTTCAGTTTCAGTGTTATCATCCATAACAGACTCAACTGAAGTACCAAACTCTTATTGGGGGGGATACTGCTCAGGAGTCACTTACAGTGGAGCACCTATATGGAAGCTACTGAAAGAAGAAAAGTAATTTATCTTGTGTAGTGACAATAGTTCTTCAATATGTAGGTCTCTGTGGGTGCCCCACAACCTACCCTTTCTCCTCTACATCTGAGTTCTCAATGGCCACTTTGTGGTGGAGAAGAAATTGAGGGTGGTTGATGTGCACAGTACAAATTAACCTTGAGGCACAACATAAGGAAGGGAAAGATTATGTGTGGTTTAAACAAGGGCACAGACACATGTACAGTGGGGCACCAATAGGGACACACATCTGGAAGAACCATTTTCTGCAATAATTGAGTAACATCCTCATCTGAAGAAGTTTATGATTCATCATAGCAACGGTTTTAAGATTTGGAATGATAACCATATTCTACTAATTTCTGCTTTCTGACACACTGTTTGCTAATTGGCTCATTTGAAGTCAGTAATAGGCTTTTCTGGACCTCGAACTTCATCTTCTCAGTAGAATATTAGGGATTTTAAATACCTGTTATATTCAAGACATTTAAAAGCATTCATATGGAGAATGTTCAGTATATTGTATTTCTGCTAAAGACTGTCAGAATGTCTGTACTGACCTTGTTTTTTGGAACATCAAAATCTGTCGTCTCTTCAGGGAAATATTGATAACAGTGAAAAGCATAATTTGTAGTAATCTAGTCTATATACATCAGGCTTTCTTCAAGTTTCTCCCACTACAGGCAGTCCCCGGGTTACGTACAAGATAGGGACTGTAGTTTTGTTCTTAAGTTGAATTTGTATGTAAGTCGGAACTGGTACATATTGTAGGGGAAACTCTAGCCAAACATTTCTCCAGAGCTCAGTTTTATTCTCCCACACCTCACTTCCCTCAGTCCTTTATTCGCAAGCTGAGATGTCTGCTGAGAAAAGCCACTCCGCGTCTCCCTGGTCTGCTGGGGAGGGGAGGGGGGCGCTAGCTTCGCGTCTCCCTGGTCTACTGGGGGGAAGCAGCTAGTGCGGGGTTGCCTCACCCCATTTGTAAGTAGGGATCCGATGTAAGTAGGATCCATGTAACCCGGGGACTGCCTGTATATACAAATTGCTCCAGCACCCTTACAGCTGGTAACCATTGTTTTTTCTTCCTCTTTCTTTCTCTCCATTGTTATCCGATAGGGAGACAGGGTGTTTATCTGTTCAATGTCGTGGCATTTATGGCTGTGACATGATGTCAATGTCTCTTTGGGGAAGAGGCAGGACAATTCTTCTGATTCATATTTGCTTATGATGGAAGCCCAATTAGGTGGAATTATTCAGCTCCAAAACAAACTGCAAGATTTATGTCCTGAGTAGGAAAAGACAACTAAGGTGGGGGAAGGGGAAGATGGAAGAAGTGTGTGTGTGTGTGTGTGTGTGTGTGTGTGTGTGTGTGCTGAATTCTGAGAGCACTTTTCAGTGAAATTGTAGGAATAAATTAAAGTAAATTGAATATATGCAGTAAAGCAATAAAATCTTGATAATCACTCAAGAAATATCTTCTTGCTATTACTCCTTTGCTTTCAACTTGACAAAAGAATACAAAATAATTTAGAGTATGTAGGTAAATATATATAGTACATATGTAAGTGAGGAGATTTTATATTGAGGTTTTGTTTTTTAAATACATATTCAGAGTACTAAACACATCAGCCTTCTGGGTTAGAGCAATCAAACATCAACTTAAAATATTATAGTTCTTAATAAGGAAAGGAAACAAGTTGATTAAGAATAGTCTTTCACAGGCTGTAGTAACTTCATTTTCTTTTCTTTTATTTAACAGAATAAAGATCCTAAAATGTCCCGAGTTGCACTGGAATCACTCTATAGATTACTGTGGGTTTATGTTATTAGAATAAAATGTGAAAGCAACACTGTAACACAAAGGTAAGTTTTGTATATAATTAAAACTATTATGAGGCTGTTTCAATTTATTTAAAATATAAACTTTTTTTAATTTAAAAATATTCCCTATGGAAAACCTTTCTGTAAAGTTTTGTGAATTTGTTCCTAATGCCTGTTTCTTTTTTCTTTAATTCTTGTAGCCGTCTCATGAGCATTGTATCAGCACTTTTCCCCAAAGGCTCACGTAGTGTGGTCCCTCGAGACACACCTTTAAATATATTTGTGAAGATTATTCAATTCATTGCTCAGGTAAGCTCACTCCTAAATGGAGGTCTGAAAGTATACTGGATAATTTGTGGAAGAAATTTAAAGACCAATCCGTCCCTGACATAATTTGTTTCAAACCAGTAAAGTTACATTAGGAATGAAGTTAGAGCATAACTTTAGGAGAAAGTAAATTTAAATTCACTATACAATCCTGATTCATTCACAGAACACTGTGCATCCTGTATAGTCATTGAAGCAGTGATCTTATCATGTATGATGGTATAATTGAAGATTGTGTTGTAATATATATGCACAAGGAGGGCTGAATTATGGTTGCAAAAATAGCCTTAATTCTGGCATTTCCTGATGTTTGAGTTCTTGATTTTGCAGCTGTATTGTTCTATTAATTTAGGGGGTTTTGTATGTTCTATAGTATATTGCAAAGAATACTACAGTTAAGTAACTGAGATATTTACTCTAAAGGATTCATTAGCAAAGAATAATATTTTGTATCACTGGTAATTATAGGGTAATAAGACATATTCAGTTTCTTGGTTTTGTGTATGTGCTAATACAAAGTGAGTCTTATGTAGGCATGTTTTTCGTCATAGGAACGCTTGGATTTTGCAATGAAAGAAATAATATTTGATCTTCTAAGTGTTGGGAAATCACCTAAAACCTTCACTATTAATCCAGAGGTAAAGTCCGCTAAAGAGCAGACGTGTTGTTTGTCTTTATTTGAAAACAGTGTATAGATTTATACAAGACAAGGAATGGTATGAAGTAGAAGACATCTGTTTAATGTGCTGAGGCAAAGTGGCCCCATCTATGGCCCTCCCAATGTTGCTATTGTGTCTGCTGTCATTCCCCAACTGAAAATTACAATAAATATAGGTATACAAAAAATCAGATGTTGAGGAACATGTGAGGATTAACTGGTCCATATACCTAAAGAGTGCAATATAAATCAAACCAAAGAAATAGCTGTGCAGTCATGGTTTTTCTGTTCTGGCCAGTGGTAGCTGGGGCAGTAACTAGGTAAAATTTCATTTTTTTTTCAATAAAAATTTAAAACAACAAACAAACCAGAGAACATGTGTAGGTCCTGTGACAGGGCAGGTTAGAGGGCTAGATTAGAGAGAGAGAGAGAGAGAGAGAGAGAGAGGCAGCTCTAAACAGCAGAAAGAGCCCTGGTTAATTAGGAGAGGGTTATTTCAGGGCAGCCAGAAGCAGCTGACCTGGGGCTATCAAGGGCAGAATGGAAGCAGTTGAGACCAGGCTGCTATAAATCAATTAAGGGCCTGCTGATCTGACTTCAGGCAGCCACTGGGCCTTTTAAAAAGCCTTCCCTGGTGGAGGGAGAGGAGTTGTAGCTGATAAGCTAAGAGCCAGTGAAAATGGAAAAGAGGATGGCAGCATTGCTAGAGACATTGGGGAAGGTGAGGGGCTCTGACAGAGTGTTTGGGTTCCCTTCCCCAGGTAGCCAGAAAGTCCAGCCTCTAGCTGGGGAGGACTGGCTTCCCAGCCCAGGCTGACCAGAGAATCTGCCCCAATGCCATTTTTTGCCAAGGGACAGAAGCCCAAACACTGGAAAGGGCAAGTGGGACCTGTGCCACAGAACCTAGATTGTGGGACTATGGAATGAACAGGGGTCTGTAACCCAGGAGTGGGACTAACCTTGCTACAGTGCTTACTTATAATTAACAACCTTTTCTCAGTTCCTTTACAATTTAGTATGCAGGATAGCCCAATCCTGCAGTTCTTTGAGTTCAGCAACCAGTGCTGAGCAACAAATTGTGCAATTAGCATCTTTGTGTGTAATATTGTATTTACTTTGATCTGTCAGCAGCATGTTACTCCATGAAGATTCATGTCAGTAATAATAATCATTTAGAGTCATGTTCTGCAAGTTATTAACTGTCTCTTGTGAGGTGCTCAGCTGATTCCAAATCCCATTGACTGAATCAGAGCTGGGGAGGTACTTCACTGAATCATACTGTATTATCTTACTACTACAAATATATCTACCATAGTAGGGCTCTTTTGATCTCTTCCTAATGAAAGGACAATTAAATATGTATTAATGTTTATTTTGCACCATCTATAAACCATTGTAAGTTTGCAATTCCTCCTGGTTTCTAATTCCATTGTCTTCCCTTTCTGCTACCATTGAAGAGGATGAATATAGGCCTCAGAGTCTTCCTTGTGATAGCAGACAGTTTACAGCAGAAAGATGGTGAACCACCAATGCCAACAACAGGAGTTGTTCTTCCCTCAGGAAACACTCTGCGAGTAAAGAAAATCTTTCTCAATAAAACTCTGACAGATGAAGAAGCAAAAGTAATAGGTGAGTGGTATTCTTTCGCCAGTCCCTTAACAAATGAAATATACACATTCATCCTTCAGGATACTGAAGTAATATTTTTATGTGGGGATTAATTTTATATTTAACTAGAAGATTTCTCCAGGTCCTTATCTGAATTAATACTTGTTTTTTGGAAAATAAAATGAAAACGTACATGCTTCATTCGAATCATTGTTCTGGGATGGAGCTGGGGATGAGGGGTTCAGTATGCTGGCTGTTCCAGAGAGAAAAGACTATCTGAGTCGTCTCTCATTGCAGCAGCTTGGGGCCACCATGGCTGCTGCAGCTCCAGCTCCAGCTTCCTAAAGCACAAGCATTTCTGAGAGACAAGTATTAACAAATAGGGATTTTAAGTAACCAAAAATGTGAAATAAAAAAAAAAGACACACACAGAACTCCTTGCAGCCTCTTCCTTCTCCTCCCCCTGTCTTCTCTAAAAGGCACCTGAGGGTTGGGAGGCTCTGACCTTGGGCAATCCTGGACAGAGGGTGGGCATGCCCCAGTCAGCCTTTTTCACCTGCCTGGTGATTCTGTCTCTCTTCTGTATGGTTTTATGAGACTCAGTCCCATTTCAGGTACATCTCTACTGGCAGAACCAAACACTTACCTCACTTTAAGTTATGATAGGATGAAGCTGTATAGTGAATTTGTTGGTACTAGCTCTTACCATTTAGGAGGAGTTCTTGAACAGACAGACAGACATTCTCTCATATGTATAGTAATTTGTAAATGCAAAAATATTTTATGAAATGTCTGCTACTGGTGAAGATTTTTTTTAAATTCCTACTTGTTTCAAATAGAAATATGAAGTTTGGAATATAAGACAAGATCATTGGCCTTCCATTTAGCAATGTAAAGCAGCCTGGAAAGTGTCCTATAGAGGCAGCTGGGCATTCCCCTGATGTAGAGAGCATTCTGGGGCAGCCCTAGGAGAAGGCAAGGTGACTGAGCCCACAAACATTGTACTGCACTGATTCCAGGCTAATGGAAGAGTAGACTGTAGTTTATAACTATTATTAAATATTCTGGGCCCAAAATTGCCTCCCGGAAATAGAAGTGCTTAGAGTCACTTCCTTGCATTGATTTCCCCTTGTTTCCCCAAAGAGAATCGTGTACTTTTATATAATAGGATATTCTGTTTAAATTTAAAAAAAGAAAATTTTGTCAGTTAAAATAAGATTTGGTTAAAAGTAATTTAGTACAGGCAGTCCCCGGGTTACATGGATCCGACTTACATTGGATCCCTAGTTACAAACGGGGTGAGGCAACCCCGCACTAGCTGCTTCCCCCCAGCAGACCAGGGAGATGCGAAGCTAGCGCCCCCCCACCCCAGCAGACCAGGGAGAGGTGGAGCGGCTTTTCTCAGCAGACACCTCAGCTTGAGAATAAAGGACTGAGGGAAGTGAGGTGTGGGAGAGTAAAACTGAGCTCTGGAGAAATGTTTGGCTAGAGTTTCCCCTACAATATGTACCAGTTCCGACTTACATACAAATTCAACTTAAGAACAAACCTACAGTCCCTATCTTGTACGTAACCCGGGGACTGCCTGTATATGATTTCTTATGTTTTATACAAGATACTAGTCTTAAACTGAGTTAAATAGTGATGAACTACGAGATAACCGATATGAAAATAAAATTTAATAATACTGAAAAAGATGACTTGGAATGCTTTACTTCTTCAGGAATGTCAATATATTACCCTCAAGTGAGAAAAGCACTAGACAGCATTCTTAGGCATCTGGACAAAGAAGTTGGGAGGCCAATGTGCATGACTAGTGTACAGATGTCAAATAAGGAACCTGAGGACATGATTACGTATGTAGTAAATTATAAATTTAAGCATCATTACTGTCATATCCTTGTAATTAATTTTTGTGCCTAAAAGAAATTCAGAAATCAATCTTTGAATGTATTTAAATGTGTTCAGGTTTAATTTAATGTTAGGATATTTAAAATTTGTTCACAAAGAACATGATGGTTGTACTGATTTTAATTATGATGATTTGGGGTTGATTCCATAACATTGAATTGAGCTTAGAAATCGTATGTGTATTTAATGCTAAACATACTGTAAACCATGTGATTATGTTTTGTGTAAATTGATTTTGTAGGGGAGAGAGAAAACCTAAGATTGATTTGTTCAGAACTTGTATTGCTGCTATCCCAAGACTGATTCCAGATGGGATGAGCAGGACTGACCTTATTGAATTATTAGCAAGGTAAGGAAAATGAAATCCTCATTTTAATGAAGGCCCTAATGTCATACAGTGAAGGATATAAATTGACTTTAGTTTAGAAAAGGTAAAACACCTGTATCCAGTTGAGACTGTGAGGATTTGAAGAGATGGTGCAGGTTTTTTTAACAATGCTGTGCACTCTGAACAGGCTGACAATTCACATGGATGAAGAACTGCGTGCCCTCGCTTTCAATACTCTACAGGCATTAATGCTCGATTTTCCAGACTGGCGGGAAGACGTTCTTTCGGGATTTGTTTATTTTATTGTGCGTGAAGTGACTGATGTCCATCCAACGCTTCTTGATAGTGCAGTAAAGATGTTAGTGCAGCTAATAAATCAATGGAAGCAAGCTGCCCAAATGCACAATAAAACCCAAGATTCTCAGGTATGCGTGAAATTCTTATATTACCAATTCCGTGTAATTGAACTAATTTCCTGTGGCATTAAAATGCTCTCTCTGACTATCCATTTTTAGCAATTTGCTTTTCTCATCTGAATATAGCTTTTTCTTCATTGTAATCTATGCTGTCATAGAGCAGCCCCTTCTTTAGGAGGATGGCCACAGCACACCAGTCATGCCTGCCTCTATTTTCTCTTTGAGACCCAGTAACACCACACTAAGCTAATTTGCCTCAATAAAATGCTCCTCCTTGGTTTAGTTTATTAAAAAACCTTGTGTAGATAGTCCAGACTGTAAGTCTCATAACAAGTTCATTTATCAACCCAGTGCAAATATTTAAAATCCCAAGAAATCTTGTCTATTGACTTGACATACATGTCTCATTCTGACATTTTCTGCCACACACAGACTCTTTGTTGGTTCCCTTCTGTTCCTTTGCTGGGAGAGTCACCTCATCCCTTCCAGCTGGAGAGCATCACTGCTCTTTGCAGAAAGAATGCCTCCATCCTCTCTTCTGGGAGATCATCCTTACAAGGGAAGCATCCCTCACTTCCCATAGTCCTTTCATTATTCCCTTGGGTTCAGCTGTCTGGCCCGGGAGATATCATTGGTAAGCTCCTCCGTTGCTCCCTTTCCTGAAATCCTTTCTGTTCTTTACTTTGTACTTCTGTTATAGACACGATCATATGACTCTCTCTGCTGCTCCCTGAAGTTAGCCCTCTGCATGGCCATTGCTCTCTGGTTTGGGTAGGTCAACCAGTGAACCTCTCTTGTCTTCAGCCTTCTTCTAGAAACGAGTTACAGCTTCCTTGTAGAATCCTCCACAGTCCCTCTGACTTCCATGCAACTTTCACATGCTCTTTGCTGACTCTCGTTCAGGTAGTTCTGACTCTTTTGGTTCTCTTCTGTGTAGAGCCCACATGCCCTCTTTTCAATCCAGTTGAGGAGAGCTGGTGAATCACACATGCACTGGCCTTGACAAATACTTTTCGGTTTAAGTTGTACAGAGATATTTTGTATATATGCTTTTATTTCCATATTTATTGCTGAATTTTGTATTTTTTAAAAATAATTAGCAAAAAATTCAGTGATTAAATAGTGCTTAGTATTCCATAAAGTCATCTCCTGCTTCTTTTTATCTGAAGGTCTGTTTACAATTTGAAATATAATTAACAGGAATGAATGAAATGATTTGAACTAAGAATTGATTTTATTCTTCACTCAAAAGTTTTAAAAAGTGAATCTAATGCCTTTGATTGAAATGATCAAACTTTCTCAAACTGTTTTTTAAAAATGGAATGCCTCTCCACCTTAAATGTGTCCTTTAAGGGTGCATCTACACTGCATGACAATATTAGGATACCAAAGGTATCTTGAAATAGCTATCCCGCGTCTACACAAGCCGTCCATTATTTCAAAATATTTTTTGAAATAATGGGCGTGCTATTTCAGATTCCTGGTAACCCTCGTTCCGTGAGGGTTAAGGGATGTCTCGAAATAGCACTTTATTTTGAAATTTGATGCTGTGTAGACACTCCAAATTTCAAAATAGCCTATTTTGAAATTCAATCAAGATAAGATGCACCATTTGTGTAGCGCAAATTGCGTATCTTACTTCGAGTTTAGTGTGCTGTGTAGATGCACCCTAAGGTGCATGCTTGCATGGGTGTGCACCAAAAATTTGAGGCCTGTCTACCTCCTCAGAAGAGCTGTGCAGTGGGTGGGCAGCTGCCCTGCCCCAGGAGCGGAGTAGCAGGGCAGCCACTACACGGCAGCCACTACACGGCCCTAGCATCAGCCCTTCCCCAGACCTGGAGTTGTGGGCTGTATGCAGCCCTGGCAGCTACCAGCTACGTGGCCTACCCTGAGAGAAGCTGGCCGAAGCTGGGGCCAGGGCCACATGGTGGCTGCCCAGCTGCTCCCAGGGCAGGCTGTGTGGTGGTGATCAGAGCTGGAGCCGTGGCCAGGAATGTGCTGCTGCTGGGTTAGGGTTGTGCGGCCAGGGATGTCGGGTGTGGAGTCGCATTCTCCCCTTCGCATAGGCCATAGGCTCTGGGCAGCACAAGGACAGTTCAGGTGTTGGTGGTGGCAGGGGGCTGGCCAGCAGATCAGGTAGGGGCTGCAGTGCTGAGTGGAGAGAACGAGGCCAGGAACCAGCAGGGTCCTGTGGAGCTTGGCAGGGAGGTGGCCCAGTTCAACCTGTTGGTCACCTGCAGCATGTGCAGGCAGCACATCCAGTGCCAGTGGCCCAAGCAGTTGCCCTGCCTGCACTCGTTCTGCCTGCCACAGCCTGACCACTACCTCATGCCCCTGCTCAAGCACCCTCAAGGAGCTGCAGCCTGCTGTGTCCCCTTCCTCACTGGTCCCTTGGCTGACCCCACCCTGCACTGCACACTGGGTAAGTTGTCTGTAATGGAGTGTGCTTTTTATTGTAAAGATCTATCTAATCTCTGGTCTATTTCGAGGAAATTGCTACATGTAGTAGCAGAAATCTAGTACTATGCCAGTAATTTATCCAAAAAAAATGGGGAAAACAGTTTAAAAATTTAATTTTTTTTACAAGGTGTAACAAAATTAGTTGCTTTGTAATAATATTTCTAGGCCTATTATTGGTATGTTTTTATAGACTGAGTTCAGTAGGAGATGCTGGAGGTGGGGGAAGCAGGAAGCCATCCCCTAGCAAAATGAGGATTGTTAAGAGACAGTGTCAGAACTATTTGCTCTGAATATTTTACTTCCTCCTAACCAACCTGCAGAACTAGAATGATTCACAAGAAAGCGGCAGCTTGTGACAGAAGGGCAGATACCTTTAAGTAAACACAAAGAATATCCCCCATAGCTCATTATCAGGAACTAATCCTTATAGATGTTTTCTGTCACTGACTTGGTTACATACTAAGTTCCCTCTAGGCCAGAGCAGCAGCTAGTGTTGCTCTGCCAGAGCGGGAGCCGGGGCTACGGTGTGGCAGCTATTGGGGCTGGAGCAATTCTGCATTCCTTCTCCTTTCCTCCACTGCCCTCTGGCTCTGAGCCTCCTGCCCCCTTCAGTCCCCTGCCAGCTTTCCCCCTCTGGCTTCCCACATCGGTGCCCAAGCCCCCCACTCGCTGCAAACCCATGGCGCTCGGAGAGTCTCTCAGGGAACAGCACCACTGGTGGGTGCCACAGTGGCGTACATCCGAACAAGTGCCCATGACCTCAGTATTGGCACACAAGACGAAACTCACTTGTCTCATGAATGGAAAATCTTAGAGGGAACACTCTCCACTGGTCTCAGCAGAAAGTGGAATTCCCAAAGTGGAACAGGAAAGGCTGTTCCTATTATATTGGTTTTGGCTGAAACCAGGATATGCGGGAATTCTTGAGAGAGCCAATGTCATGACATTTCCAGATCCAAAGAAGTTTGGATAAGCATCCAAACCAAAATTCTCTAAATATTTTAAAACTGTTTCTTTTATCACTAATAATTAACCTAATATAGCTCAATAATGATTGTTTTGCTGTTAATTTAAATGACACATGTATAATTTTTTTAAGCGTGGTGCCTCTAATGGAACTGCACATACTCTTCCCCTGGAGAAGACCCTTTACTCCAATGTATTTCATATTGTGGAAGGCTTTGCATTGGTCATTCTTTGTAGCACAAGACTTGCAACCAGAAGATTAGCTGTCAGCATTCTTCGGGAAATACGGGCTTTGTTCACAGTATTAGAAATTTCCAAGGTAAGAGTTGAGGTAGTTCTTTATAACTGTTCATGAAATGGGTAATGCTTGGTGTCTTTTCTTGAACTTTGAGATTCTCATACATTGTATTTTCCCTTTTTTTAGAGTGATGATGAGTTGGCTATAGATGTGATGGACAGACTGAGTTCATCTATTCTTGAGAGTTTCATACATCTCACAGGGGCAGATCAGGTAGGAATATTTTGTGAAGAATGTAAAATTAATCAACAAATTAATTTGTCCTCAAATTATATAATTATCTAAATATAATTATTCTTCAAGTGATGGTACTGATGTGTATTCCACAAGCGGGGTATGGACCATATGCTTGAATGCCGAAGTGTTTGTTGGCACTGTCTGTTGATTCACACATGCATAGGATGTCCTTTGGTGCTCTCAGCCCATGATATAATAAATAGTATGGGTTAATACATTTCTAGTTCCCTCTTACCTCCTCATGGCTTGAGTCCGAACCTGTGTGCGCTCAGGTGTTCCTTTTTTTTTTTTTTTTTTTTTTTAAAGTGGCTGTTTTTCATTCAACATATGTCACTGTAAATAATTGTTTTAGTATAGAGAGATATGTTAGTGCTGTTATTTCCTTGTATAGGGACTGTCCCCCTCAGCTTTCCAGGACAATGCTCCGGACTCTGTATTTTAAAAACAGCATCTCTTGCCTCTACTTATTCTCTGAGCACAACAAATGTGAGGTGCTTTTATTGCCTCAACAATGTGTATTTCATGATTAGCTGCTCCATTTGCAAGTTCTTCCTGCCCCAAACCTGGAAGGCTTGAGAGCACAACCTCCGTAAGTACTTGGATCCAGAACTGATAGATACCCACTCCCCCATACAGTGAAGGTCAACACTGGTGAGTACCCCTGTCAGCACATCACATGCCCCAGATCTTTTGGTGTTAAATACCAAGGACAGACCATGGACTCCTGGTCTCTGCGCTCTTCCCCTACCCACATTCTCCACTTCTCTCCAGGCTCCCACTCACCTGTGACCTGTGCGCTCTGGAGGTTGAATCTTTCCTGCTGCTGCCAGAGAAGCCCATCCCATTTCTACACCTCAGCTCTCCAATACTGACCATGTACTCCCTTCCTTCTCCCCAGCATTGCTGGAAATCTCTTCAGAGTCCAAGGTGTTTCCAGAGTCAGAACCTTTCACCACCGTATGATCTGGCAAAAGAGGCCTGGTACCTATGGCCGCTATATCTGAAGAACCCTTCTTTTTCACCATACTGGGCATGCCAGAAGAAGAGTCAGAATCCCGGTTTCTTGGGACTCTTAGCTTTCTAAGACAACTTTGTCCATTTTTCCTACTATTTGTACTACATATATTTTTCCAATTGTGTGTCATTACCACCATTGTTAGTTATGTCTCCCCGGATGGACTTCTTCCCCTCACAGTGCTTCCCCTTTCCTGGAGATTATGGCCCAGCAAA